CACACGCACACACACACGCACACGCACACGCACACGCACACGCACACGCACACGCACACGCACACGCACACGCACACGCACACGACACCTTTTCAATCTGCTTGCTGTCCCTCCCTCGTTTCATTCTTCTTCATTCATTTACGACACCCAGCCTATGATAGGATTCTACTAGCCAAGATATGCCAATGGTAGGAATTCTTATAGCTCACGGTACACTTTCTAGGCTTATATCATCCTTGTTCTGGTAATATTTCCTTAATCTCCAAAGTTGTCTAATGTAATCCTTAACATAGCCTGGTGGTATCCTTCTAATGGTTCTCTCGCTATGGATAGGAACGGAGGACGTCAGCCCATCAGAGCAGAGGCTTAGCGTAATGAATATAAATAGATAAGAAATCAAATCATCAGCCTAATAAACCAGAGAATAAGCAGAATAAATACAACCGAATAAGAAATCAGATCACTAATCCAAGAGAGTCAAAGAATAAGCGTATGAAGTATAATAGATAAGGAGAGAGAGAATCCGCCAGAGGGCCAGGGAGCCAGAGAATATTTCAAGAAGATAAAAAATAAGAAGAGAGCGTCAGTCCAGAAGTTGAGAGAATAAGAAGAAAAAAGGAAGAGAGTGAATCAATCCAAAAAAATAAGAGAATAGATTAGAAAGGTCAAAAGATTAGAAATCGGCGGATATGGGACGACAATTCAATGACCGAGCGTGAAAGCTTGTGCAAAATTGCCAAGGCGCGTGGGGAGAAGATTCACGTGGCAGAAGCCATGACCGGGGGCGTATCGCGGTGACGCGGCGAAAGACGAAGGTGGCTTGCCGGCCATGTTCAGGGAGCTCCATAGTTTGCCGACAAATATACAGGCGGTCAATTTGACTCTATTTGTGGGCATGATTGCGGCCTTTGTCGTTCAAACCGCTGATGCGTGTCAGTCTTTTCTTCAGGCCCCTTTGTCATCCACCATCCCAACATGAGTGGTGTTGCCAAGAGAGTTGTGGCTACCGTCCTGGGAAGGTCGCTTTAAGAGGCCTGCAGTCCGCCCTTTGTGGGCATTGCATGGCCATCCTGAGGCCCCAGCAGAATGGCATTCTTTCTTCGAGAAGATCAGTTGACATGTCTGGCCGCGCAACTGGTAGACGGTTTCCCATCGGTGTACTGGATTGCGTCTCTCGGGGTCTTAGTGACGGTGTATGTCGACGACATTCTTGTTACAGGCACGCCGGATAAGTTGGCCACGTTTTGGCAACAGCTGCGTGAGCATGTTGACGTTGAGGATGTGTTGCCAGTCGACAGGTTCCATGGAAGGTATCATTGGTTCTCTCGTGATCTCTCAATTATCCATACGCACATGGAAGCATACGCGCATCAGGCAATTGAGCTTTACCAGTCCCTTCCGGGCTCTAAGCCTCTCAAGTTCGTTAATACTCCCTACCTGGCGGAAGGCTCTCTCCCCATGGAAGATTACCAAGTGAAAGGTGCACTCAGTGACACCTCAGCAAGAATTCTCATGAAATTGTTATGGTTCTCCCGACTGTGTCGGCCTGACCTTGCATACGCAATTTCCACTTTAGCGGTGCAAGCCACATGTTGGTCACGTAACGCCGACAAATAGCTCCACAGATTAATGTGCTATGTGCAAAGCACTGCCAACTTTGGACTAAAAGGCGTAGTCAAGGACAAGTTGCAAGACTGTTGGCTGGACTTGTTTTGCGATGCCGACTTGGGTGGTTGTGTGCACACAAAGTCGACCAGCGGCTTGTGGTTGCAGGTTGCAGGTCCAAACGGAACCCAGTTTCCGATTGCTTGGTCGTCCCGAAGACAACAGGCCGTTAGCAGATCCACCACAGAGGCAGAACTGGTCTCCTTGGCGGAAGGACTGTTCATGGAGGCACTGCCAGTGCAAGACCTGCTTAGCCGCATCTGTGGCCAGTCGATACCGATCAGAGTTCGTGAAGATAATGAGTCGGTTATCAAAGTGCTGAACGCAGGCTACTCTGTGAAGCTAAGAGGGCTAGTCAGGACTCAGAAGCTTTCCATCCCATCAGTCTCACATCACTTAAAGGAGCATCCAGACGAAATCTCTCTCTGGACTACACGTCTATTACGGATCAGTTGGCAGACTTGCTGACTAAGGTTCTCGTTCGGATGCCTTTTGAGGAATTGCTCAGGAAACTAGGTCTCTGCAAAGTCCCTGAAAACTGAGGTTGTGGGCTCAATGCCCTGACAAGTTTTGCTGAGAGAGTTTGACGTCGCTAAGACTACTAAGGTCCGACTGCCAAACCCGCGTCAAACAAACAGTTAAGCCTGCGACGGTTAGCTGTAAGGCTCTTTACCTGACTTGCGCGCCGCGCGGTAGGAAGAGAGCAGCTTAGGAAGTGGAGCGCCTTCTTGGCTGGCGGCGTGCCAACGGCGCGAGCGGCGGGTGCTGAAGCGCGCTGACTGGGCCTGTAAGCACCTGTATAGGTGTGTAGTAAACCGTCGTTCTAATAGGTTGCTTTGTATCAATCTTAGTTGTTAGGTAATTCTCCTGCTTTTCTGGTCACACCGCTTTCCTACTTCCCCCCGTTCCCTTTTTCCTTACTCCCTTTTCCCGTCACAACCATAACTACACGTGCTCTTGCCAGCAATGCCCACTCACTCCTCACGAAGAGCATTACCTGCCATGATCATGATCATATCGCTTTTGATGTGCTCATACCTGTTGAACAAGCTGCAGCTGCACCTGTAGTGATAGGCTTTGCCGGCGATCTCAAAGCAGCTCCGCATGCAAGCTTCTCACAACTCGTGCGTTCGTCCTGCGTTGGGCCTGACTGATCATGTGGTAGCAGAAGTTGAAGGAAGCCCACTCATCAGGGTCAAAGGCCTTGTGCTGGACCTAAGCTCAAAATGGCAGCGGCCCAGGGCAACAAGTCCACGTTAGTACGACTACTCCACCCTGCTCCTCAGGCCTCACTGAGTTGATGGAGAAGCTCAAGCGGTCTGAGCGGGTGATCAAAGACCTGTTGCCGAGCATTTGATGATTCAGAAGCTGACAATGATCTCTCAATCAGCAATCTTGGCAGCCTACCTTGGACTGGATTAGCAAGGAGTCAGGCAAGCGAGACTCCGGCCTTGGCAGAATAACAGCCAGCCCAGTATGACTCAGCATGCAGCGCTTGCTTTGATTGCGTGAGGCGAGGGCTCCTCATATGCCAGCCCATCAGGACTCCAGTCTAAGCGCAGCAGACGTCGCACCTCGTGATTTCAGCCTGCCTGAGAGCGCAGACGAAGTAAGGAGGATCAAGGCCTTCTGCGATACTACCACACGGACCCCGCTCTCACGCGAAGGCGCCTTCCAGGACAACGCGATATGCAAGACATCGCAAGACATGCATGCACACACAACCTTCTCCTCCGTCCGCTGGTAGAGCAGGATATACCTTAGGAACACCGCCTGCAGCAACCAGACACTGGCCCCAGCAGATCTGTCGGCGTGGCTGTGGTGCAGCACCAGCGCCAGACCTGACCTGGATAAATGCTGCTGTCTGGAGTGTTCGAGGAATCGGCAACCAAAACGAACCTGTTGGTACAGAAAGGCCGAATCATACTCCTGTGACTGCTCCTCTAGCTTCTCCAGGAGATTGTTCAGGAAAACCTCAGCCCGTCACACAGCCCAACACAAAAAGCCACTTGGCTGGGAGCAGCTGAAATGAGATCGAAACATTGTGGCACAGAGCGCTTGTCGTTCGTGCGCCACAACAGCCTGAACAGAACTGCTCAAATTTATGGAACCTGCTGAACCAGCCTCTGCACTCCCCAGCCCACCAGCTCTGGGCAACAGCCCGAGCTCAGTGCCAGCTTTCAACCTTGCACGCATCCCCACGCTGCTTTTGCTTCTCCACTCATATTCAAGTTTTCAAGTTGTCTTTGACTCTGCCTACAGAAGACAAGCTCCTTGCGCCGCGGCACCCATGTCACTGCAAAACGCAGATCTGCTGGAGCCATTGGCGGGCTGATGAAATTTGCTACTGGCTGCTGAGAAGCTACAGAGACGTGCTACGTCCTAGGTAGACTGATGCGTTGGTCATGCGTAAAGCTGCGTACCGCGCGGAGGAGCCAACCTACCCAGGCTGTCTGCCGGTCATCCCGCTTGCCGGTCTGCTGTGCAATTCCTGAAGCAGCGTCCGAAAGCTGACAGTTGAAGCTCCTGCATCACTGCTGAGCCAGACGCAAAAGCTAAAGTGATCCGCTCACGGTTTTGGTGCAACTTGTCTAGACACGACATGAGCCGAACACCCTTGTTTTGCACCCCTTCCTGCGCCTCGTCTGACAGCAGTTGGCAGATACATTGCTGCTATGGCAAAGGTGTCACAAGTATCACAGCGGTCGACAAGAGCTTAAGAGTGCATTAATGCTCTTTTACAAGCTTACACATGCTCGATCAGGTTCAGAAGATCACTCCAAGTCAGTCCTTGAACGTGGAAAAGTGCCTCACCCGGAAAGTCATGAGAAGACAATCATCAGCCCTTGTCTGACAGAACATGCTGAGGGTTTGGCTCGATCTGTAAGGGAGAAGCTTCACATCGTCGGAGCAAGGTTTTAGTCAGGACATCTGCAATGCTCGAGCCTGCTTAAGCCTGCTACTAACACACTACCACGTATCTTTGCTTGCACTTCACGCTTTCGGAAAGCTCTGCATCCTCTTCATGGCCTGGGCACACACGCAGCGCTCGCAACAGCATGATGAGAAGACATCTTAGCGGAAGCTGTTTGCATGCTAAGCTCCCAGCCATCTGTGCAATCTCATTCGATTCCGCGAGCTTCAGGTTGTAGAGGACCAAACAAACACAACAAAGTACAAAATGAGTGACTAACGCCTGACAAGGTCGCTGAGAGACTTCCACCACAACGGGAGCTTCGTGTTCTTCGCGATCACACGGAACCACACCTGTCATTGAGCCGAAGACTGTCTTTATCTGCTTACTAACATCGTGGCAGAGGTGGAAGAAATCGGAAGACATCTCTGCAGCGGTGTTACTTTGTCCCTGCCCTGGGCACTTTTCGTGCGCTTGTTCACACGACATGCTTCTTGAACTTGACGCCGCCAACACCGGCATACCACGATCGCGAAATGCCAAAGCTGTTGGCAAATCTGGAAACTTGCCCTTGAGAGGGCACCACTTGATCTTTTGCATCTTGGGAGGCTTCACACTGAAACAACTATAATGAGCTTGCACGAGCTTGCCGAAGACTTTGCCGTCTGATGTCCCAAACGACAAACGACGACCGGGGGCATGTTCTGTCTACTATGAGGTTTGCCTGGCTAACCCTGCATCTTGGCGTCCCTGCTTTCGGCAAGGATGCCCGCAGGTGAAACTGGAGTTGTGCTATGCTGCGCGCCCACGTCGCCATTTCCAGCAGCATGGTGATGAGCAAGCAGCTGTTCGCACTCAATAATTAACACGACATTCATACGAAGCCACCAAGGCAGGATCGAACTTGTAGCTTTTGCAATAATCCCCTGGGTATGCGTGACACCATTTGGTATGTGAGCCATATGCTTGTGGGGAAGTACTTGCACCGAGAAGTGCGGGAGAACAAACTTGTTGATTTCTGCTCTCGGAACGAACCATGACGACGGGAACCCGCTGCTCGATGTTGGGCTTGATCGCATCATATCGCATCTACTTCATTGCAGTTTTGGGCCTGTTTTCGTGGAAAAATTGCTTTGGCAGGCGTGGCCAGCTTTTCCTGAGCGCGACCAAGTAGATGGCGACCTTTCCTAAGCCCTGGGATCCTATCACTATGACGACCTTCCTCACACATCTCTCGTTGCTGATTCCGCTCTGCCGCCACTCCTCAATTGGCGGTTTGGTACACTTCTGGATGTACATAGACCTCTTCCACAAGGATGACGGAAGCCATTGTAAGCATCTCGACCGGAAGCCACTGGGTAAATGAGCACACGCCAGCGGTGGAGCATCATGGAGGCGCCACCAAGGTCAAAGATGAAGTTGGAATCTCTTACGTTCCTAGGTATCCTCTGTGCCTCTGGATGGCACGTGAAACCAAGGCCTACGGCTTTGAGAACGGTAGAAGAGATCCTACATCAGCATGCTACCCGTCTCTATGCCTACACATGACTACACTCAATCACTGCCAGCAAATTGTTCGCTGGCAGCTGCACTCACCACTTCAGTCTTTGCTTTCTTCTGTGAAAAATCTTCCGTGTGCCTGACATGCAAGAGAAACCGACTTTGCAAGCAGCGAATAACATGAACACATTGCGCGTTATAATGCAGAAGTCAAACCGAATCCCGCCTTCCTTGCTGTCTCTTCTCTTGAAGCTTGCTTTGAAGTGTTGCATCTCTTGATGAGGACCCATAGTGGTGGGTGTAACTCGGACATCTTCTGAACTTCGGGGAATTGTCGATAGCTAAAACCTTGCACTGCGAGTATCAAGCACCTCTACCTTACGGGGTGGAAAAGTTGAACCATGCCGGACCATGTCGGTCCACAGACCCGATTGTTGGTCAAGGTCCGGAGCGCCGCCTGAACTTGAACATGCTGGGCAGCACATGGTGACATCCCACCGGCTGGAGACCGCCGCTAAGACATCAAGGATTACGGTGAAGCCTTCGCGTGTGCAACCCCGAACGTCGAAAGACAGAGAGGACGCCTAGGGCATGCGCCCAGGGCGCGGTGCGGCAGCTCGAAGCAGCTCGAAGCAGCTGTCGGCTCCGCTGCCCCAGGCGCTATTCATCAGGCCGACCATCCCCCGCGCCTTCTGAGGGATGGGCCTCTGGGCCTGTTTAGAAGAACCTTGGGAGGGCCGCTAATGGGCCGTAGCATGTCGAGGAGATGGCGTCCATTGTCCCGGACTCCTCAATGCTGGCCTTCAGCCTGAGTCCCAGTTCTTAGGCATTAGGCAACTAAGTTACTAGGCTGCACAGCTAAGGCACTCTGTCGGGCTACACCAATTTGCCCATGTTTGGACTCGCAAATCACTCTTGTGGCTAGCACTAAATCTCGCATCGTGAGAGACTCACGCGCTGTACAGGCAAAGGGGGTGACTCTTGAAAAGACAAGCTAGAAGTGGTGTTGCCACTCTACGCTGCCTTTGCTGCACGAAATGGCTGAAAGCACAAGAACTGCTAGCCTTCCATTCTTTCATGCGCTTCAAACTCGAAGATTTGCATTTGCATCGCTTGGGCAGTCTGGCTTCTCATGCTGCAACCATGCAAGGTCAAAAGGACGCACCATGTGGGCTGAGGGTTGGCTGGCGATCGCCCGTCAGACTCATCAATGCCGAAGCAGCTGTCAGAAGCATTCGCTTTAGCTGGTCCAAATGCTGCCGGCCGTTCATTCGACAAGTCCACCGACAAGACAACAAAGACATGACCTTCTTGGCGGGTACATTTGCCGTCTTCATGCTCTTCCTCTCTGATATTTCTTCAAGGGTCAGAAATTCTTTGGACTCCTGTACATGAAGGCGATGTTTTCTGATGCTGCTCATCACGAATCCTTTGCATCTCGTACAACAGCTTGTCTATGATGGCAGTCTTCTTCTCGTCCTAGCATCCTCAAGTAATTGTGTGCTTGCCGCGGTCTTCTTGGCCTTCAATTGTGCGATCTGAGCACCATCACTGGACGAGCTCGAGTGCGTGCAAATTTTCAGATCTTCTTCAAGCATACAGTACCTGCTCTGCCACTGAGAGGTGCCTGTGCTTCGCCTTGTGGTCGAGAGCCCCATTGCTATCATTAGTTGATGACTCCCGCTGCGCGGGCCCTAGAAATCGTCAAAATCGTCAAAGCTCGCTTGAACCGAAAATCAAGCAAGGCCGGCCAATGGTCCCAAGAGACTCGTCTCAGAAATGCTTAGAGCAACTGCCAAGAGCAGGCTCCGCCACACAGCTGTTCGCATGGGTGCCCGGCTGCCCACCGAAGAAAGAAAACCAACCCGCCTGGCAATGTCTTATCGCTTGGCTGCTTTGCTACGGCGAACCATGGCGAACCCCAGCCTCTGACCAAACTGTGAGTTCGCGCGGCCCTGCCTTTGTCGGAACCTGAGCACTGCTTGGCACTGCAGCAGACAAGAAAAGGGAAGGAAACGGGAGAGCTGTCACCTTGGCTGGAGTGCTGGGGAGTACTGGTCTACGCTGGGAATCCTGCTGCCGTGGCTGCTTGCGAAGCTGGCACCGGGAGGTGAAACCTTTGTGGCAGCTTGCCCACATGGTGCGATACCGTAAGCATCCGTAAGCTGTGTAAGCGGTAGCGCTGGATGCATTGGTCAGTGCTAGTGCGTGATGCTGGGGCCCAGGCGCGTCTACCAGGCTCGGCGTTTCCACGAACGAGGCGCCTTGGCTTGACTTATGTTTGACTGCTCTCTTGCTGATGGACAAGTGCCGCAATCTGGTGGAGCCCCGATCACCTAGTCATCGCATCTCTTCCACTGAATTGCAAAAGGGAAGCACAAAGGATCCAGCTGCCATGAACAAAAAGAGCACCCCGGGTGTCTACAAGGCAGGCAAGCATGTCTACGCTCCACGATCTACTACTGTGTCAAAATTCGAAACCATACAGAACATACATCAGCGAATATGGGGGGGTGTCAGTATTGTCAGAAAGAAGCTTCTGTTCTGAGAGCCTCTATCAAGGTTTGAGGCCAGACGGTGTCCCAAAAATCTTGAAACTGACATCTCTGTACAGAATCCTCTGATCCAGAGCCTTAAGTCCAGGTCCTCTCAGCCCCTCACATAGCAACTCGCAGATCACCAGCGAACCGTCGCACTCCCCGAAGACGGCCAATCCTGGGCCATGGCAGTGCTGACTGGTATGGTGTGACTAGCTGCAGCTGTTGCAGCTGTTGAGAATGTGGCGCCCAGGCGACGGCAGCCATAACAGAGATGTGACCTGCGGACACCAAGCTACCCTGCTAGAAGAGCAATTCTTTGGTAGTGGATCATTGGAGGTGTCCCTGCCTCGCAGCAGGCTCCCTTGACATCGGACGGCAAAGTGGAAACAGTCCAAAGCAAATGCGGCCTAAGACCATGCTTCCTCTCACGCACTGAAACGGAACAGAGAACACCGTGTCTGAAGAACTCGGTCTCAAGCGAAGCACGCTTCTGGTCTCCAGGCCAAGCCTTGGGACAAAGCGCTGTTCATGACGGCATCATGATAGCATCATCTCTTGCGCTTGTCCATTGAACTGGGGGAACGGCCCACCCGCGAATCTCACGCGGGCAAGCAGTTGCCAGAAAGTGAGCACCAGGAAGAACTGCCATTCCTCAAGCAGTGCAGGTTGGGGTTGGGGCTCTGAATCCTGAGTGAGATGCCATGTGAGCAGCGGACAGTACTTCTTGTCTGGACTCTGGTCACTCGTTCCTATTACTAGGCTTGAGTTTGCGAAACGTACCTGAGCCAGATGAAAGATTGACTCCGTTTCCCCTCAAAACCATTTTTAAGCCTGTGATAAGGGCACCACAAACCCGCGGCAGCTGCTGTGAGCCCCATGTAAATCTTGCATCCAGGCCCTCCAAACCCCCGAAACTTTACCAGCCTTGCACTTCATTTCCATGCATGTTCGAATACTGGCGCGCCAAATGACTAAATCTACTGTTTTCTCGTTTTAGAGCACTTGAGTCGAGCCTTGAATCTGGTTTTCCAACAAGTTTGGGTTGAAACACAAGATGCTGATCTCGTTATTTGGGGGGACCACCTACATCTTAAACACAGATTTCCAGGACTTCTGACCGACGTTATACATGATTAGAAAGACGGAACTATAGCCCGTGGCTCATAGGATGCCAGCATATGCTAGCTGGCAGAAGTGTGCCATCCAGCAACCTGCTACAACTGGGGTCGGCACCCACCAACATCTGCTCATGCGGATTCCAGAAGTCCTGACCCAGGGTAAGCTACAATTCAAGCAAGAAACAAGTGCTTGTCAATGGTTGTGCTTTTGGGCCAACTGCGGAAAGGCAGGTCAGCAACATGCCGATTCTCTGCAGCTGTCTCACCCGCACTCCTGCGGCTCGGATTTGCCAAGTCTTCCGTGCACCTGGGGCAGCAAAGCCAACTTGCTGGCCCCTACGCGTCAACTCAAGGTCACTCAATGCGGCTCGAATGGTTGCCCAGAATAGAGCAGCCAAAAGAAAGGGCTCTTGACTGCATCGCAGTCCTGATTTCGAATCTTAATCTCCGAATCTTAATCTTCCTCAGTGTGCTTCAGCAGCCATACCAACTGATGCAACAGAGGATATTGCTTTGGAGACATTCTGAGTCTCAGGCATGCAACAAAGCAGATCTCTCCCAAACCTGGCTTCCCGGAAGCGGCTGTCTAAGCCAAGTCTGACAAGTCATCTGCAGCAGCAAATTATGTTCACAAGCTGTTTCCACGGGAGCCCGTATTTTAGTCACTGCTGGCCATGCTTCGCATGAGAACATCTGTATCTCTGCGGGGCAAGTCGAAGACCCACCCACAGAGCTGGGCGGCCCTGGCAGGATCCATCCGTCGCACTTCCTCGAGCGCGCCGTTGATGAAGATGGTCTTTCCCTTTGCAGTTACCCCAAAGTAGTCGTGATCGTGCCCGAAGCAGTGGAATTGTGGAGGCTCCCTCAACTGCTCCAACCGGTTTAGTAGCAACTCACAACCACATTCAGATGAGCGAATCTGATGGGGAGGCACGTGCGTCATTAAAACATCCAGACCTTCTGGTATCTTTGACCAGATCTGCTGCCGCTCAGACCGACGCCGTTCGAAAGCATTACTTAGGTACCTCTTGCCAAGAGTCTCTTCTCGGCAACTGACAGTCGGACTGCCCCAAATTTTCAGGCCCTGGTATTCCACAAGAGTGTTCTCCAAGTATACAACATTGCCCGGCAAACTTTCCAGAAAGGGCTTCTTAGCTTTCGCAGCGTCTCTCGGATATCTCTGCTCGTCCAACAAGGTGTCGTGGTTCCCGGCAATTACTACAATGAGCTTGAAGCGTGAGCTGATCTTGAAAAGCCAGTCTACAAAGTCTGCCAAGTGCTTGAAGATGTCTCTGTCGCCATAATTGCCCACAAGGTCTCCGGTGTGAAGTAGAACCTCTCCTGGTGGCAGATACACATTCTTGTGATGGTGATGGGTATCTGAGATGTGCACGAAACGTACAGGTGGAAGTGGGGATGTCAAAGATGTGACTGTCAGAGGACGGGGCAAGCTATTGAGCATATCCTCAATGTCACGCAACCAAGACTTCAACTCCTTAATGGCAGGATGGGATGAGCCCAGCTTCCGTTCCAGCTCACGGTTCTGCTCGATGCGAGTCACAACTATTGGATATTCTGAGATTGTCCTGTAGATTGGGAAGGGGCTTGCTATGGGTTCTTCCGCGTCCATTTCTGGAGGAGTCGGTTCCGGCGGGAGTGGCCCGTCTGGGCCGCTCGTGTCAAGCAAGAACGACGCGCGGCTCGCCTCGATAGCTGCAACGAGCTTTTCCAGATCCTCCGCCGTGCAAAGCACAGCATCAGCACCAGCGTCCATGCATGCTTGACTCATCACACCATGCTTGCATGCTGTGTGGCTAAAAACTATCATTGTTGGCGATGGCTTAAGCTTTTTTACCACAGATATGAGAGTGCTCCTGTCCGCTGCCCCATCGAAGATTAAATCTACACCTGGACGAGTGCCTAGGGCAGCAATGACCGCACCCCAGGGGCCCCTGTTTCGAACATGATCCAACGTCTCTTCGTTTGTCGACACTTTGACCACAGTGAAATTATATTTGCGCGCCACGCTCTTAACAGTCGAAGTGGTTTCTTCACCGGCTAGGCATAGAACGCGAGGTGCTGGGGCCACGAGAAGATCGACAAGCCCCTCTGCAGAGCAAATGACAGCATCGGCCCCAGCACGGCGACAGCGTGAGGCTATGTTTTGCTTGTCGCATGCTGTCCAACTAAAGACGGCAACAAGGGGCGGCGGATCTAAGCGCTTCGCTGCCAGGATCAAGCTGCTCTCTGTCCCGCGGTCGAAAAGCATATCCTCACGTCGAGTCCCAAGAGCCGCTACTATGGCCATCCAGCGCCCGCGGCCGATATTTAACATGGCTTCTGCAACTGTTGACACCTCCGTTAGTGCGAGGCCATGAGCAGAAGCCACCGCTCTAACAGTTGCCTTAGTTTCCGCACCTGCCATGCATAAAATGCCGCCAGCACCATCGCCGCCCAGCCCCCTCCGAGCAGAAGGATGGCAGCCCATTCCAGGATCGCAGGTTGGCTAACACTGGCTGAGCAAACTCGCGAGGGCTAGCTGAGTCCCATTTTCCCGCTAGGTGTTTTGAGCTGATGAAATTAACCTTGTGCCGCTGCGACTGTCGAGCAGAAAGATCGGTACACTTGCCGCAATACTTCAGTCACAGACTGCGTGCTACCAGGCATGAGAATACACTGAAGTCGCACAGATGCTGACCCACAAAGTAGCTAAACGGGAAGCGCACCCGGATGGCTTCATCGCATTGCACAAACACCTTCGGGCTCTGCAGTTTTCATAGCAGGCCAGGGAACGAGGCTCAAGGCCCGGACAGAGGTTCCCTCTGCAACGACGCAGGGCCTGGCAGGCGTCCACGATCGCGTCGCATGCAGAGAAACTGACTTCTTGTGCTATTGCACCACTTCTTAGCATGCGCCTCGCTGCAAACAACAGAGGCATCTCACGCAACACGCTGCCACACCCTGCAAGGCTCTATGCCAGCAACGCTTGCCGAATGCACTTCACAGGCAAAGCTGGGTGGCAGGCTCAAATCTACCACGTAAAGCGCACGCCGGCTTGCCACCAGCCCATACCACTCCACCTCCAACGAGTGGAACATCTTCAACCCAGGATCCCGAAGCAATATGGTTGCTGAAACTGGGCTGCTGACGATGACCGGTGACTGGGGCGGGAGCAATGCTCTCAACGCAGCGCTTGCCTGACGGGGAAGCGGAGGCATGCATCTTGCGACAACATAAGGTGATGTCCTGCTCTTCAAGCGACGGTAGCGCAAAGACGCGCAACGCGCCCGAAGACATAGCAGCAAACAGGCGTCCGTTGCCTCAAAGTTTGTTGAAGACAGCTCGGCTCGACATTTCTGTGAAGCTTGCAGGGCGTACGAGCCCATTCAAAGGACAGCTTTGGCATCTCAGGGCTAGGCCAACTGCGAGCCCGCTCACCTGACGTCTATCGGCTACTATGGGATCTTAGTTAGGCCACACGAGCAATCGTAAAGCTCCCTGCCCGCTGTTGACAAGCCACGGACCAAAAGCCTTCCATCTCAAATTGCAAGCTCTTCGCTCGAACCGCTTTGCGCTTGCCATTCTGCTTCTGCTGCAGCAGCTGTTCTTGGTAGATCCGAGCCCAAACTGACTCCGCAGGACTAACTTTTTTCAGAGTGTTGCCAGCAGCTTATGCCTTGCCATTGTAACTAACAGGCGGCGGCTAGCTCACACCATAGAAGCCCGCTCGCCTGAATTCGGTGTCTGGGCCTTCTCAGGAGCTGCCACGCTTTCCACCTGAAAGCAACACTCAGATGGCTGACTGCAAATTGCAACATTGCCACCAGAGTCTGCAGATACTTCGGGCCTCCCGGATTCGAGAAGCGTCGCCCGGCAGCAGCTCCAACTCTAAGGCCTTGATCCTGCCATCCTGCCAAGGCCCGTCCAAACTCGCCATGCCTGCTGACTTTGCTTTCTACTTCTTCTCACAGCTTCACGCCCTCCTAAGGCTCTTTCTTCCTGCAACTTGTTCTTCTTTCCTTTTCGCCCTTTCGTCTTCATTTCCAAGATTTTCCAAGGCTTGCCTCCAACTTTCCAGGCCCAGACTCTTAACGCCTGGGACGGTGACAGTCTTCGTTCTAAAGATGCATCCGGTTCCTCCTCCCCGGAACTTGGGGCTTCATCTTAAGCAGTCACTTTCTTCTTCTTCTTCTTCTTCTTCTTATGGGTTTCCTGTCTTTCAAGCTATAGAGAAGGCAGGAGCCCCGTCCTGGAGCACAGCCCCAAGCCCGGCTTGGGCACACAGTCTCAGCTACACTCACCCAGGAGGCCCGAGGTGCAGGACATTCACAGGTCCAAGCCAGCCAAGATCCAAGCTACTTACCATGAGTTGTGAATCCCGGACTGCATATGGACTTTCCTCATACTCCATTGGGCTGTGACGATGATGTCCCATGCTCCAGGCCCCAGGGTACCACTACAGTCCACTGCACCAACAACCCTCAATTTATTGGGCCCCATCACCCCGGAAGCTGATCCCCCTGCATGTGGACAAGCCTCATTCAGGAGCACAGACTGGCACTCTCTACAGGGCAACCACGGAGACCATGATTAAGAAGGGCGACATCACCCAGGTACACTGCTCAGCTCCAACCTAAACAGCCCCAGCATTATTCTACATGGCCGCTCTCTCTCTCCCCTTTGCTTCCTCGCAGCCAGCGTAGAGCAGCACTTTGGGTGCCAGGACAAACTCGGAGATCAGCAGCAGCAGCTGCGGACCCCGTTGAGCCAGGCCTCGAAGTTCGAAAAATTCCGAGCAAAGGATGCGAAGGGCGTTGTGACAGAAAAGTAACTAAGACATACTAAGACCCCACAACACTTTGGAAACTCGCTCTCATGCCGTTGCAGTGAGGACGAGACGCCATGGAAGCGAACCCTGACAGGTCAGATGAAGTCGTTTTGGACTGTTGGGATTTGTTCAGACCATGTTGGCGCTGCAGCCAGTGTCTGTGTTGCGCGGCCTCACCAGCCCGTCGATGAGTACAGCTGAGAAAGGCACGGAGCTCCTTCGCCACAGTAACAAATGGAGACACCAGCAGCGACCACCAATTTGCAGCTCAGTCGTCTGATATGTGATGAGCGCTTCAGAAAGGCTTGGTGGGAGCAACCGTGTCCTTCACGGAAGCGTCCGTGTAGCAACCCAAGGGAATCTTGAAATTGAAGTCCATGCCGCGCAAGGCTTTTGAAAATTTTCTCCCAAATAGTTCTGGTGCAGCAACATCGTCAATCATGACTTTGGATCCATAAGACATGATGCTAGCCTGCACCTTGTCGCAGTGCAGATCTAGCTTGAGCGTGAGCTCGTGTATCGCTAAAGCTGCTAAGCTGTGAGGCGGACAAAAAAGCCACCGGCAAACGCAAAGCCTGCAAAGCCTTCAGAAGACCATACAGCATCGTACAGACAACAGCTTCGGCACATGAAGGAAACAATTTTTTCAGGGTAGGGGTGGGCGAGCACTTGGATGTGCCGCCAGGCTTCACTTTGAAGCCGCGAGTCACTAACTTTCAGGGAGGAGGCATGTGCTGTCCAAAGGACATTTCACATGTCTGGCACTCCGCATGAGCCACAGATCAGCAAGAAGACGCACAGCCAGCAGAGCTTTCGCCGCTCTGTCCGACCTTTGCAGCAACAAGAATCCGATGCATGTATCTGGATCTCTTAGACAGCTGACAGTCTATTCAGGCTGCGTGACAGCAGCATTCAGCAACCACACCCGATGTTCGCTTTCAGCTGCTAGTAAGCTAGTATCTTCTAGTTATTTCTTGCTGGCGTGCGCGATAGTCGCCCTGCAATGCCATCAACAACTCATGTGATACATGCTTTGATCTTCCACGATCTGCACATCCTTCTCACGGATCACGGAAGACCAGAACATGAGTTCTTGAGATGTGTGGTGGCAGAATCCCCTGAATTATATACCAGGCTGACCATGACCGAAATTTTCTCACAGAGAGATCAGACCGCCTACCACGGACCCGGGAGGAGGTACCTATGCACCGCAGTAAAGCGAACCCGTGCTGGGCGCACTTCCCCGGCAGAATTTACAGAGGCGCAGTTAAGGGCTCCCATGCCGGGCATATGCAAAATGGCCTGCAGTAACAAGAAGGAACATCATCACACTGGTCCCTCCGGCAATATGATAACGGAGCATGGAAACAGCATGTACCAGCAGCATGTGGCACTCAACTCACGTGCAAATCAGCTTTTCCAGTCACAGTGAATCAGTCTGGCTGTTTGAGGAGTGGGCGCAATGTAGTGTCCGAAGTAAACTTAGTTTCCCCTGCTCAGAGCACATGCCTTTCAGCTGCCGACGAAACCTCTAAGATTGGGAAAGCCGCAAAGCAGTGCCAAGTTGACTCGTAAAGGCAAGCAATCAATGGAAAAAAGTAAGCATGGCAATGCGGCACGGCCAAGCTGGACGTGGGCAGTTCTTCCAAGCCACATTCAGTGTTCTTCACAAGCAGTCTGCCAAAAATGACAGAAATGGCAGAACTCCTATGGTCTTCTGAGCTGCAGACAGCAAAGCCCCGCGTCCTCTGCTCCTCCTCAAGTGGCTGCAGGAGGGAAGTCATCTACTGGGTACGCAGCTCGTTGGCGCTAATGTTGTTTTTGCCTGGCTTCCTGCTGGTTTCGCATGTTTTTGCCCTTGGGTGACGGAGGGTAAGGGAAGGGTGTGACAGGGAAGGTTGATGGCAGGAAAGAGGCAGCTACTTGCGTTCGCTCATGCGCAGCAATTGCACAAACAATGTAAACCCGTGACAATGCATCCATTGTTTCTGTACCTGGCCAGAATGCCACAGCCGCGAGCCCGTTTACTTCAGACCGCTACAGCGACATGGTATAGGTGCTTTCCTCGCAAAATCAAGGGTCCGGGTCCGGGCGGTTGGAATCCGCATCCAGTCCAGTTGAGCAGCTAGGACATGCTGAAAAAGTGGCCGCCTTCCAGTACTTCAGTACTTGCTGGTGCAACCGTCTAGCACAACATTGGTGACGAGCGGAGGACTCCACGTCTCATCCAGACACGCTACTCCCGGAATTCAAAATGTTCGAGGCTATTTTTGACTCACTTCTGTGAGAATGTGTACGGCTGCATGCAATCCGTTAAAAACTGAAAGAGATAGACAAAAAGTGTCCACAAACTGCAAACCCTTAAAGCCTAAACCAGCGCAAATCCTAAACCCGAAGCAAACCCAAACCCGAACGACCCCAAACCTTTAACTCTGAAACCCCAAAACTTGAACCCTGAATAGCCCCAAGCCCCTACACCCAAATGACCCCCGAAACCAACACCAAACACTAAACCCTAAGCAATCCCAAACCCAAAACCCTACACAACCCCAGAGCCTTCAACCTAAAAGACCCCAAACCTTAAACCCTAAACAACCCTAAAACACAGGCAACTCCAAAATGTAAACCCTCAACAACCAAACCCAAAACACGAAAAACACCCAAACCCTCAACCGTGAACAACCCCAGACCCTAAACCTGAACAACCGCAAACCCTGAGCCCTGAACAACCCGAAACCCAAAACCCGAAAGAAGCCCAAAACCTCAAACTAAACAAGCCCAAAACCTCAAACCCTAAACCACCCCTAACCCTAAACCCCAAACAACCCTAAATGATGAGCCTAAACGAGCCCAAACCCTAAACCCAAACCAACCTGCAAATTCTAGACCTTAGCGGCTCAAACCCTGAACCCCATACAGCTAGCCCTTGAAAAGCCCAAACCCTAAACCTTCAACAACAAGAAACCTTAAACCCGAAACAATGCTACACCTTAAACAAACCCAAAAACTAAAATCCTAAGCAACAGCCCTGAACAACCTAAACTCTCGTCAGCCCGAAACCCCAGACGACCTAAACACAAAAACAAACCCTAAACAGCCCCAAACGTTCCACCAGAAACAACCCCTAAACTCCAAACAACGCCTGAATCCTAAACAACCCCCCTAGACCCAAACAATACACAACCCCAAACCCTACATAGCCCCCAAACAACCCGCAAGCCTAGGGCAGTTAAAATGACACGGTTGAATGGCATACAAGCATCACAGTCAGCTCAGCAGTGGGCTCAAGCAATCTCAAATGTTCAACAGAAGACTCAGCTCCAGCGGCTCCGGAGACAAGGAAACCAAACCAGACAATCTGAATGCCTGAAGGCACGTTCAGAATCCTGTGATAAGTATATGGAAGAGTAGAGCAGATCGGTTGATCAAAAAGCCAAGCGAGCAAACTCTCATTCGCAAGGGCCTCTAGCATTGTATGCATGGATATTTCGAGAAGGAAGCCTGAAGAGTTTCTTGGTTTCGAGCCATGCCTCGATGAGGTCACGTATGCTTGTGGGAGTGTGGACACTACAACAGGTCAGTCAGGCAAGCCGACCACTGTCGCCGCACTCTCGCACACACAAAACCCGGGAAAATGTGGTAAAGAGACATGATTCGAGAATAAGGGGTGGGACCCCCGCATGAAGCAGTGCTGAGCGAATGGCCGGGAAAGTAACGGAGTCGAATGCTTTAGACCAGTCGAGAAAGACAGCATGAAGTGAATTCTGTTGACGTCCATAAATCTCAAGAGTACGGCGCATAATGTTTATAGGCTGAGTGGTGGATCTCTTGGCCCCAAAGCCGAACTGAGTATCTCAAGTACGGTCATCACAGATATGCGAGAGGCGCTTCTGAAGAAGGGAGGCAACAATTTTGCACATAGAATTGGTAAAGGAGATGGGTCGATAGTTGGAGAGTTCGCGCGAGTCCACCTGAATTGCTTTAACCAGCATTACCACTTCCTTAGGGCCTAGGAGTCTGGAGCAACAGAGCAGGAATCAAAATTATTGAAATGGTCGAGAAGAAGCTTTTTCAGAATACAAGGGGAGCCCTTGAGGAGATTAGAGCAATTGTATCTGGGCCGTGAGCACGACCATAGCTGAGTGAACGAAGGACTATGTTGAGCTCTGCCATTGTGAAAGGATCGGAACAATCTATGGTAGGGAGTGAAAGGGACATGCCTTAGTTCATTGGGAGCTTTCCAAACTTGTTCGGTGAGATATTCGGCAAATATGAATGCTAAAGAGGTTGACACATGTAGGAGAGAAAGGCTTACGGATAGATGGGGCGGTCTTCCATTGTTGGACTGAAGAGCCATCAAAATCTGATTGGAAGTGACGAGATATGAACTCGTTCTGATTCTTGTCATTAGTGACAGAAATTTTGATGCGTTTTTCGACTGACATTCAGCCTGGCATTCAGCTCAGGAACAGTGAGATCAGCGGCGTCCTGGAAGGAACAGATGAGGGCGAGGGTAGACCGAGAGATCCAAGGCTTCTTAGGAGAGATGGAGAGTGGCTATTGAATGCCTATGCTTTTGGAGGAGCTGTGTAAGAAACGTACCAATATGTTTTTCCAGTACCATGCAACAGTCATGCAGCAGTACACACTGTTCACAGCTCAAACAACGGGAGCAGAACACTAGACAGGCTCCTGCGGTCGCCGTGGCAGCCGAACTGCGATCCTCAACTTCAGCGTGGGCACTCTGAAGACCCAACTGCCTCCGCCGAGGAGCTCATTGAACAACTCGTTGACGTTCTGCCCGGTTTTAGCAGACGTCTCCTGCAGCAGCAATTTCAGAACAGCAACAAACTTGATGTAAAGCTAGTGTCTCTGCTCTATCTACAATCAGATAAGACATGTGGCAGGAAACCCGTCCATATGAAGGAGGCCCATCTGGTCGGCAAAGGTTCTCGCCGCATCCTTGTCGACAGCCCGGTTCGCCTGGTTCTCACTGTCAAGCTTACGAGAAGCAAACCGCGGTCTTTCTGTCTGCACAGGCTGCAGCATGAACTTGCAGCCTCTAAGTCAGACTTGTTCCCGACTAACGCGATCAATGTGTCCTGGTACGTGGCATTTTGATCTGCATTTGACAGCGGCAACCTGCTAGCGAAGCGGGGTCCGAGTTCTGCAGCTCGGAAACCCAGGCTTTGGCTGCATCGAAGGACTCCTTCAGTGCAATGCTTGGAAAGCGCGGACATGTGCGGACGTTGGAGGTGGCAACACAAACAAGCCATGTCCCGTGAAGTGATGTCAAAGACTATGACAGCAGCGGCAGCACCCCGGTAGTACCTGCTTTTCAGAATATGAGGCCTGGGCCTAGACTTATTTCGCTCTGAACTTGACTCTCTGAGACTCTGGGACTCTTGGGCTTGCACATTGGGACAAGGCTCTTGTAGCGCTCCTGCTGCTGAAACGCGGCGCGTGAGTGGGGGCGCCACACCATGGCACCAGGTCGGTCCTGCCCGGCTGTATCCCAGATCTCGAACTTGACCACCTTGGTAAAACTCGAAGGCGTACAAGCTTTCCGCCAATCTAGCAACAACAATATAGCCTCCGTATTTAGGCTGACGGTCTGTGTCATGAAGGCAGCTCCAATCGTGGGCTCCTGGAGATCCGCAGGTGCACGATGAACCAGCAGCAGCTGCAAAGATAACTTCTGAAATTAGCACTGTCCTGGTACTCGTAGAACTCTCCTGTCAGAGTAGCCGGGTGATCACAACTGAGCTTAATATCAAGAATCTTCCAATCTCTGACATCAACATGTCTGGCCTTTTGCAAATCTGACAACAAGGCCTGCAGAAAATCGTTGCTGAAATCAATGAAGCTTCTGCGCTCGCACCCCTTGCTGGGTCCATGGCATGATTTGCCCACAGATGCATCTCCAAGAAGAACCAGCTTGAAATGGAAGACCTGTCAAGGAGGCTTCCTCAACGCAGTCTTCCTGGCACCCGTCGTAGCCATTGCATGAGGCCTGGGGTGGTGCCCCGGATGCCATAGCGTGAAGCGCCGTGGGCGGACGTGCGTGGATGTAAACTATCGTCGCTTGTCATCTTCATGCTAATGATGACGATAAGCTCAAGTGTTGCTTGCGTATCATTCCTGTTTCTACAGCAGGTCTGCCGTGAAGACTGATACGCATTTGAGTGAAAGAGCATTTCAGGCTATAGAAGGACGCACCAAAGGCCTGCACGCATCCACATGCAAACAAAAGAAGCAATAGCTGCAGAGCACAGTACTGCTCGGGTCCTGTGCATCCATTCCAGCCTTATTTTGAGAGTAATCCATAGCAAAATCAGGTGTCGAGGTGGACAAGCCGCCACCACTGAGCACATGGGGTTGTGAATTCCAGGGTGCCTTCTTAGTCACCTGTACCATAGCACCCGGTCAAGAGACAGTTTAGTGCCACCAGGGAAGCGGACATAGGGCCCAACAATGATGAACACTCAAACTGGACAAAGCATACCAAAAGGAAAGCCGCATGATACCAACAAAATCTGTAGCTTCAGAGCTTGCTGGGCCCAATGCCCTTTCTTTCCTGGTTTTACCTTCAGTGGACTGACCACTGCCACAAAAGGCGGCCAGTCCAGGTTGCTCAGCATCCAGAAATGGTCTAAAAAATCCCCTGGTGAGTTGCTCCAAAGTAGCTTCTGCCCTTTTCTTGTGGGGCCATGGCCGTGTGTTCTCACCGTTGCGACATCCAAGCGCTTGGCACCCACCGGACCAAAAGAAAGCAATCATTGATAGCTTATCAAGCCCTCCGCGGCTGATGCCAGTGCTGCTAGATCCGTTCCGGACATTGCACCCATTTGGCAATCTACGCCACGGGGTAAAAGCCAATGTGCAGCAAATAACTTCGGACCATCCGCACGTGCAAAGGGGGCTCAACCGCCCAAAGATCTCCAGTCAAACATGCATTGCTCGAAAAGACAAAGTAATTGAAATTGCCTGCGTGCTGACTTGTGCTATTTGCACTAGTCGCAGCACAGGTGGTCAGTAATTCGTTCACAGCACAGCCTATCTACAGTCTTGCAGTGTGTTCAGGCTACGATGCACACTGTTTGGATATGGAACTTCGCCTTTAAAGCTGCGTTCTGGAGTTAAAACTTCCGAGCATTGCTTCTGCAATGACTCTCATTTTGTACAAAACTCCATTCTTCTGCAAGCTAAACAAAGACAGTCTCCTCCCTGTCAAGGCTGGCTCGGCCTGAGGGCGACTATGTGAATATAGTACAGCATAGGATGCTTTGTATTACATTATCATATGATGCTCTAAAGTTCATATCATATGTAGTGTAGTATATTAGCGCACATGTTGTGTAAGAGCAACTTTCCAAAAGGCATCTGTCTGCAGTAGGGTCGGCACCACCTCCGGTATGACGTTTCCATCGGCAAAGATGACAGTGGTCACAGAGGAGCCCATCCTTGCAGCCCTTCGGTTTCGAGTTGTACTTGCAAGGTGGCCTCAGCTCATGCGACAGTATCTCACAGAGCCACTTCTGATTCCACCCGAGCTTTGTACCCACAAGATACCGGGTGTCCAAAGGAGCCGATGGAGGGGTACTCACAATCTGAAGGTCTCTGCATGGCGCCTGGTGGTACTGGAGCCTCGGCAAGCCAAGTCAGACCTGAAGCTGGTTCTGTCACCGACCAAATCCATGCCAGAGTGCATTGACCGCTGATGATGCCGGGCCAGAGCTGTGCCTTAAAAAGATGTCAGCTCAGACAGTCGAAGGAAACGTGCTCATGTCCCTTTTGTGGGGAGATCCGGCTATGGCACTAAGAGACACAAAAAAAAAGGCAGAACCCGAATTTGCTGCATGGTTTCGTGTAAGCAGGATCTAAGCACCCGGCAGAGGCACACCCAAATAGTTCGGTTCTGGTTCAATAAAGGCACACTCATGGCCTTGACGACTGACTTTGCAGGGATATACAGGCATACTCTGCAGGACAGGCATGGTAAAAAGTGGGCCGTCGCGTGAAGAGCATCTGCAGCCAAGCAGCAGAATTTGCACGATGCACCTTAGCAAAAGCTTAAAGTCTATGAAAGCTGTGTCTGCTCCCAGCTCATGCTATGCGGCTCTGAACCGCGCGCCTTCTCGACATCCACCCCTCCGCCTGTGAAACCGACAGGCTGGCTTGCCTCGGAGAGCGTGCTCGGAATACTCACTGCCTACCTGGACTGCCGTGGAATGCATTGGACTGCCTGCTTGGATTGCTAGAGGCTAGAGCACGTGATGAGCAGCTGAACATGCCAAGGCGCATCTGTTGGGATGCCCTCGAGTTCCAAGCGAAAAGTTTTGCTCATCCAAAGCGCCTGGAGTTGCCACGGCCATGCACGGGCCCAGGCCTGCCAAAAGACAAATCTCTATTTGAGACTTGCTGGTCCTCAGCCTGGCCAGATTGGATAGCATCACATGGTGAATCCTTGCTTCCTAACTATTACAAATATAAACCCTTACAGGACAACTTTCTCCCTCTTCTTTGCCTCAACAGGCAGCACTGCGCAGCTTTGTAGGCCCTACATGGCCCTACCATGTTGCCACCAGAACCTTAAATGAACTCACTATGAATGAAGATGAGGCCTTGGTGCATCCACTTCGGCAGGACAGCGGGCAGGTCCTCCTGCAACACCTGCTCTCATCTTGCAGCTGCGCTTGCAAAGTCCGGCACATGCAGACGGGCCTCTCCCACTCGAAGCGGACACAAAGCGGCTGGCTGGTTATCCACATTGGCACGATGTTGTGCCACTCTCTCCTAGCAGGCAGGTGTCATAGGTGCGAATCAGCTGGATGCGGGCAATGCTTGAATCTACCGTGTATGCCTGCAGCCAATCTGATCTGGGTCGCGCCTCCTGAACAAGCCTCTGGAGTTTGGCTTCTAAATCTCGCTTCAAAGAGTCGGCATCAATCACACCCTTCATGGCCTGGAGAGGCAAGGTCAAGCCGCCTAGCTATCATCATGGCTAGTCATGAGCAGCTTGGGGGCTGACAAGTTGGGAGGCGTGGCACGCGTGGCACCGCCCACCACTCACTGCTCCAAACTCGCCAAGGGTGCAGGAGGGAAAATGAAATTGAATCGGCCCGGCTTCAGCTCTGTCCGACTCATCAGCGCCGTACCTCATCTGGCGAATCTAACTTGGAGCTATAGGACGCAACATCATGCCATGCAAGGAAGCTGGGCCCAAACCCGGCAGCAAGCCGTAGCACTTGAGACCGCTGAGAGCTTGATCAGAGCTGCGGAAGCTTCTGCATGGCATTTGCAGTGCAACTGCAGTACAACTGCAACATATGCTGCGCATGCCTGGCCAGAGACAAAAAATGCGAATCCTTGTTTCTACAAGCGAGGAAACACCGAAGCTGGCATGAAAGCTACTTTGGCTTCCGTTGCGAGCATTGGGAACATCCGTTAACAGGGTCGCAAACATTCAAAAGTATTGCGAGCTAATGGTCACGCGATTACCGTTCTCATTCCTGCACATTGCATGCTGGAACAAAAGTATTTCCATGACATTTTGCTTTATCTTGAACCTGGGTCCACATCCGTGTTTGCCGCCAGCTATCGAAAGCCACCTGCACCTGTACGCCTGCAAAAGGTGTACTGCTTGAAGCATATCAGCACCAACCAGCTTGCTCAGTAGGCTCGTCTCCCGCCTTTCTGGCTTTGGAGCTGGTAAAGCGTTGCCAGACATGCCAAGCACGGCACGTAGGACATGTATACTCGAACCTGCTCAAGCTGAAAAGGAACATACACGACCACACCAGCCAGACTTTCACAGTCTCACCGACGCCTGGCCACCATCAAGACCAGCAGCCTGCTCAAGCAAGATTTTAGTCTGTCATGCAAGGCCATCCCGGCTAATCGTGGGCAGCCATGTGCTCATCAGAAAGACTCGGCCCCAAGCTGATACAACTTCAGCGAGAATCTGCCTTTGGTGGATGACTCATCTGATGGACTTGTGACACTGAGTCCTTCTAGCACTGTTGCAGCTAAGGACAAAGTGCAACTGGCCAATGAATCTTTGCCCCTCACCCGTGCTTTCCCTGCTTCATGATCAAGCCATTCTCCTGGAGCATGTCCGTCAAGCTTCCAAAAATCCAAGCTGGAAAGGTAACCAACAGCTTTACCCGACTCTGCCTATCCCTAGCAACTTGGTGCCAAATGTCCAGCGAGAATGGGACCAGCCAGCTTCGACAGCCAATATCAGCTCCCAAGGCCTGAGGCAAAAGGTAAGCTGGCTACTTATGTTCACGCAAACAGACGAGCAACGTGAGCTGCTGGCAACAAAGCCACGGCTGCGGCCTGCTAGCAAATTTATTGCAATTGTCGCAATCTCAGAACTCCCCTCAGGTCTCTGGGTTTGTTGGAGGATTTTTCTGTTGATTCTGCTGCGCATGTTCAACTTCTCTAGTCCCTGGCCCTACCCTCTCTTCCTCCTTGTCGTGAAATTGCCCAGGACAAAGACGGTTTCTGGGCTCAGCATCCTCCGCCTCCCCCTCCCCTCGCGTCCCTCACCCCAAACCACAACCCGCCCAAGAGCATGGTGCTCTGGGGTTTGGTCGCAAATCGCCTGCATTTCCGGCCTGAGTGTCAGGCTTCAGCCTCCAGGCCAAATGATTGGTGAACGACATCTACCTCCCTCAAGCTCCAAGGAGCTAGCTTTCGTGACATGTTGTGCTCTGGCTGGGGGTGTTGATGCCTGGCCTCAACAAGTACCCTGCATGAAACCTGTCCACTTCCCTTGCGCCATATCTGCAAATGTCCAGGCAGCATCTGGACCTACGAGTGCCAATGCCAAAACCACACTCTCACCACTCTTACGGCGTCAAGAGTGGCAGGAGTGCAGCTTTGCAGGAGTGGCTGTGTCTAGCTTACATGCCACTCCATATCGCTGGCTAGCAACGCGGCGGAAGCGTTTTTCTCTCCTAGACGTGGCCGTAAAGGAATTTCCTAGGCGCGGCTGTAAGGATTTCCTATAAGCCGGCGGCTGAAAGGATTCCCTACAGCCACGCCGAGGAAAAAAAACACATCCGGGGGCCCGGAGACGTATTTTTTTACTAGGCGCGGCTGAAAGGATTCCCCACAGCCACGCCAAGGAAACAAAAACAAGTCCGGGGGCCCGCAAGCGCATTTTTTTTGCCTACGCGCGGCTGTAAAGGATTTGGCTAGCCACGGCTGGAAGGATGAAGGGAATTCCAAGGACGCTCCACACGCCAGCGCTCCAACGCACCGAAAACAAGGAGAGGGTCGCCGCTTACTGCCACAATTTCGAGGACGCTCCACGCGCCAGCATCACGACGCGCGGAAAACAACGAGAGGGTCGCCACTTACTGCCACAATTTCGAGGACGCTCCACGCGCAGCGTCACGACGCGCCGGAAACAG